TCTTTACTACATGCATCATGCTGCCGCAGCAGGCACACAAGCATGACTGAGCGTATTGCAATAAAATGTAATGCCTAAATAATACTAAAATCTATTTACTACGCGCAAAGTCACCGCAGCGCAAAATCCCGAGCCAGCGTTTGTTGGATATAGCATTTGGACGTGCCGCCACACCGTAGGGTAATGTATCCCGCCGGGCGTGGAAGGAGGTGACCGCACACGTGCAGCAAATAGTGTTAGGATAGTGTTAGATTTCAGGCGTTAGGCGTCAGCGTTCGGGCTCTTCCACGGGTCTTTAGGGTTAGGCGTCGGGTTAGGGCGTTTCTGATCCCAAATATCTGCCCACACCATATAAGATTAATTCTTTCTGTGGATCCACACCATGCTATCGATACTAGGCTCCGACTCATATCTACTTTAGTGTAGGGTTAGTGTTGGACGTCTTGTCAGTTCAGAGTCTACCGTGTAGGGTTAATGTTCTGTGAACGTCATCGTCAACTTTAATCACCGTGACCTCCCTCCACGCACCGGGGGATAGCAACCACCCGCCACCCGTCCGAGCGGGGCGGAGGCAGGGGGCTGGAATGTCTCGCGCGGCTCGCCCGTCTTCCGTAACACACATGGCACTATATATATTTGTGTCGCTCAGCTGTGGCGCGCCCGTATTGTACGGACTTAGCCTACCGCCCTGTACAACAACCTGCAAGTATCTACAACCTCGCAGTACTGCATTGTCCTGCATACAACTATCTATGTCTATTATTGGAACACTATGTCTATAATATATTCCTATGTCTATTATTGGCGGTACAGTATACAACTGCAACTGCAATATGCAGGCGCTCCGCCGTCTTCGTAAAAACATGTGGATATATATATATTTGTGTGTCAGTGTGGCGGCGTATTGTAGGATTAGCTACGTGTAAAAACTGCCACGGCCACGCCAGCACGTGCTCGCAGGACGTGCCGTCGCCACGGGCAGCGCGGGGTCAAGAGGTTGATAAAAACCTTGCACGTACGGAGCCAGGCGCTTTTCCAGATAACATCTAGTGGAAATTCTCAGTGTAAACAAACATCAATCAACGGGCTTAGCCAATCAACGTAAGGGGTACTAAGATGGCTACGATAATTTGAATCCGACGTCACGATTGGAGCTAGACTGCTACGGACCTTAACTCGGCCAAGTATCTTTCGCTACACTAAAGTTATAGTTAGTGCAGCGTGTGGAACTCTTCACCGCGGAGCAGTCCAAGCTGAATCGCCAATCCTTGTGTGGAAAATTCCCTTAAAAATCCCTCGAAGAGAGCCTCGTCGCGCCATCTATGGGACGCCATATGTACGAGAATAAATTCAGGGCGTGAAACGCAAGAAATGCAAACTCGCTTTTCTAGACGAAAAGGAAATGCGCCGACCAGCAAACAAGCAATTACCAGCATTTGTATTTATTCTCGACCTACGTGCATAGCCGAAAGGCTTGTGGAATCGCCACAACTCCTCAATTGACCGATTATACGGCTTTATCCTGTACCCATAGGGCACTGGGGAGATTTTTTTTCCATATAGGGCAGCGAATAAGATTTATTGTCACCGCTGCGCGGCGTTTGCGCGCTTCGCGCGGATATCCGGGCTGCAGATCGTCTAGGAATCGCCGATTGTTTTCTATGGGTGCGAAGCGGCGTTGCTGCTGCGTGTAGACAATTCACGTATATCATAATATAATATACGTGCTCTGGTGTAGACCTACATAGAGGGGAGGGTTGCCCCTACACATTTGATTATATGATCGATCAGACCGGTGGTGAACGGGCTATTGCCATGGCGTAGTAAACGTGACAAAACGCATGATAAAAATTTGGCAAAATCGCGGTCATCGTGGCTACCGTGGCCAGGTTGGAGCCTTGCGCCGCTGTGCGAATAGCAGCACGGTCAGCACCCCACAGCATAGCTGTATACTAGTACTATAGTCCTTCGCTCCGCCACAGGCCTTCTTGTGGCGGAGCGAA